CCTACTCCAGCATGTTTGCCCTCAAGGCCTCTTCCCGAGTCATCTGGGATGCCTCCTGCTGCGGCTGCTAATGGAGTTACTTTGGATTTACATTGATGTGAGAGCAGAATTTACCCCTGCATTCACTGTAGAGAGCGAGTATATTTAAGGTTAATTTGGGCTTGGTTTTTAGAGGTGGGACACGCAGTACAGTACTAATATTGCATTACAAAATAGCGGTACCAATGTAAATGTCTGTAGCAGCATCTTATTCCTAGCTGCTCAGGAAAACAGGTATCTCTAGCTAAGAGAGGTTTTGCAGCAACTATGTTATCATGACAGGTTTCAGAGTAACAGCCGTGTTAGTCTGTATTCGCAAAAAGAAAAGGAGTACTTGTGGTACCTTAGAGACTAACCAATTTATTTGAGCATGAGCTTTCGTGAGCTACAGCTCACTTCATCGGTATGCATCCGATGAAGTGAGCTGTAGCTCACGAAAGCTCATGCTCAAATAAATTGGTTAGTCTCTAAGGTGCCACAAGTACTCCTTTTCTTTTTATGTTATCATGAATTCACATGAGGAACATAAGAGGTGATTTCTGTTCCTTCCTTACACTTTGTTTATATTTCTGCTGATTTAGAAACATAACATTTTCTTGTAGCTTATTTACGTACAATATTAGTGTATTATATGGTAGCAATTTAGTTCTTTTGGTACAAGGGCCCTTTATATGAGGCTATATTATTTTTAATTGCTGTGTTAACTGGACATCTCTGCAATCCCTAGAAAGAGGGAGAAAACCTGATTAGCAATAAATTATTATTTATTAATTATAGATTTTTTATAAGTTTCAGAGGAACAGCCGTGTTAGTCTGTATTCGCAAAAAGAAAAGGAGTACTTGTGGCACCTTAGAGACTAACCAATTTATTTGAGCATGAGCTTTCGTGAGCTACAGCTCACTTCATCGAAGTGAGCTGTAGCTCACGAAAGCTCATGCTCAAATAAATTGGTTAGTCTCTAAGGTGCCACAAGTACTCCTTTTCTTTTTGAGATTTTTTATAAGTGTCAGTTCAGATGTGCTAGCTTCTTAATCATATCTTGAAGGGAGGCTGTGCTACTGGCTCTGTCTGTGTTTTGTGTATGTATTCGTTTGAAAATTGGGCCAGCTTTTCAAGAATATAATGATTGCTGATACGGGGGATGTGCAGTAGCTTTTAGGGCTGAACAGTATGATTTATAAAAAATTTACTTAAGGAGAGTAGATCCAGTACCTCAGTTTCTGTGTGTGCATGTGAAATTGAGTTTGGGGACACGTGTTTAAATTAAAGGGCTAAATTCATCCATAACTCTTGATTTCAGTGAAGCTGTACCAAGGTAAGCTTGGCTCTATGTGCAGCAAGACAAACATAATAAATCATGTTGACATCACTAAGAACTCAAACAATGTTTTTTAAATCTACTAAGAAATAGATTGTGTATTTAGGCACAGCTCTGAATGAGTGTAAATCACCAGTTAGGAGTAATCCAAGGAGGCATTGTGTCTCAGAGACATGCTTCAGAGGCACAATTCACTCTTTGCTTCTCCCTTGCAGAGATTCAGATAGTAATTTATTGCTTATGCAAGCAGCAAGTTGCAACACTCCCCACCTTAACTTAAGTGTGCTGGTCAGCATGCTGAATGGAGTCAGAGATCCACCTCTCCCAGCCCACCTGCTCTAGAGGTCCGGGGTGACCTACCTGCTATGCACTTGGCCCCAAAGTCCAGGTAGCCTATGAAAGGGGGCCCAGGGTGTTCTTTTGCAGGCAAATACTCAAAGTCACAGTCTATCCCTATAGTATTTTTAAAGATATTTATAATAAAAGGATGCTACATTTGATTGACCCTCTTGAAAGGAAGGTCCATATTGGGGCTCTGACTGTTTGTCAGTGTTCTTTTGATTTGTGGCCATTTCATTATATCTTTGTATTAGCCAGTAATGTTTTTTTGTTCTCTCTCAGTACTCAGAATTGTGGAGTTAACATTTGTTGAATGATCTCTGTGCACCTGGGTTTCCTATAAACATTTATGTTAATGTTTTTCTGGGACCTTAAACCTGAGCAATGTTTGTTGGGCATGCCTCTCTTTTTGAGTGACAATACTGAATCAGACGCCTGAGTCAAAGATAGAAATGAGTCAAACCATGACTCACTCGTAAGTTTGACACAGATTCCACTGTGCTCCTTCGTGCACAGAAGACAAACTATTGATAAATAATTCATTGACTCAGTAAGTTATCATGATGTGAATTTTAATTTACTTTCTGTGTCAGAACAGGCCATGATACTAGAACAATGAGTAGGATTTGGTAAGGCTGTTACCTTAGAGACCTTCTAGGATAACATTCTGTCTCACTAGTTGAGCACGATGATGGCTAGGGAGTGTTGTACAAAGCAATTATTTCATCTTAGGTACATTATGTTTCCCTTTCCTCTGAAACATCAAGTACTGATTGTGACGTTGCATTCCATGTGTTTTATGGAAATATGCTTAAGAGTGTGAATATATTGTAACTGGAATATGCTTTATACAAAAGGTCTCTTGTAAGGTATCATTACAAAGCTTATAATCTACTGAGTGTGTTCATCCTATTTGTATGTATGTATGATTTTTGTATCTGAAGCTAGAAATATGAAGTATAACGCTGAAGTCCTATTGTAATTATGCAAAGTGTGGGCCATTAATGGTGGTTTGGAAGCTTGATGGCTCCCATTGACTAGGACAATTGGTTGTAAATGGCTCTGTTTACTTGTAAGCCTTCCTTCCAGCCAGTGAGTAATGAAGTCTCACAGGACATGTGAACATGTCACATGATCCTGGAATCCATCTTAAACCTGGTGCTTTTCCATTTAGAAGGAAGGGTGGGAACCCAGAGAGAGACAAAGGATTCCCGTCTTCTGCCAAAGATATAAAAGGTGGTGGAACAGAACAAAGGAGGCTGCTGGTCATGAGAAATCCCCAAGTTACCACCTGAGCTGGAACTAACAAGGACTGTACCAGGGGAAAGGATTAGGCCCAGACTAGGAAGGAGTCTAGTTTGTGAAAGAAGCTTATTGGAACATCTCTGAGGGTGAGATTTTATCTGTAATCAGTTTCTTAATGTATTAGGCTGAGACTTGCGTGTGTTGTTTTATTTTGCTTGGTAACTTACTTTGTTCTGTCTGTTATTACTTGAAACCACTTAAATCCTACTTTTTATACTTAATAAAATCACTTTTGCTTATTAGTAAACCCAGAGTAAGTGATTAATACCTGGGGGACCAAACAGCTGTGCATATCTCTCTATCAGTGTTATAGAGGGCAGACAATTTATGAGTTTACCCTGAATAAGCTTTATCCAGAGTAAAATGGATTTATTTGGGGCTTGGATCCCATTGGGAACTGGGTGTCTGGGTGCTGGAGATAGGTGACATGCTGAGCAGTTTTTGGTTAAAGTCTTTGGGGGCATGGACCAGACCTGGGTCTGTGTTGCATGAGGCTTGTATGTTTGGCTCAACAAGACAGGGTTCCGGAGTCCCAAGCTGGCAGTGAAAACGGGCTCAGAGTTAATCTCAGCACGTCAGGTGTCAGTCTCAAGGGGGTCTCTGTGACCGAACCTGTCACACTGATTATGACCAGAGACAAGATATTGCAGTAGATCGTCCAGTGGATAGCATCTGGGGTGACAGATATTGTGTGCACGTACTTCTGTGTTTTTCCCCAAACCCAAAACTGTCACAAAGCAATATGGCAGCTAGACTAACGTTTTATCCAGCAGTTTTTTGCTAATTCGAAGGGACAGTTAACTAACTGTTAAAGTTAACAGGTATAAAAGGCAGCCTACCTTGACGGTAGTCCCAAGGCTTACCTATATTATTATTTCCATATGTTATTTCTGCTAGAGGTTGATGAGGTCTGAGCACAGGACTGGGAATCAGGAGCTCTTGCATCTTAATCCTGGTTTTGAGTATCTCTTTCTTAGTAGGCGTAGGGCAGTCATTTACCTCTCTACACAGTTTACTCATCTGTAAATTGAAATGGAAAGTACCTGTAATTCTATGGGTGTGCATACATACAGATAATGAAATACGCCCTGGGATTTGGTTGGCAATACATTTCTACTATTACCTTCTGCAAGCAATGACTGCTTGTATAACCAAAGTGACAGCTTTGGCCATGGGAGGGCGGGAGGAGGTATAGTGATTAAGGGGTAAAATTTTCAAGTGTCTACGTCCCGTTTTCATAAGTCTCGTTGACTTACAATGGGATGTAGGTTCCTAAATCGCTCAGGTGCTTTTGAAAAATTGCAGTGGGAAGTCATTTCTTTCAGAAACCCCATGTTGCTGACTATGGAACGGCAATAACATTTACTAATATTTAAATGTAGAGAAGTGTCCTTATCTTTCTAGAGTGTACTTCGATAGATGTAGTTTATCCTGTGATTATTTCCTAACTGCTTGAGCCATTGCAGAGGCTGACAGCAATTTATTTGCTTGAATTCTTCATTCTAAGGTGAATCAGTCTATTTATTTTCCAATAGATGTGTTCATTGCATACTCCTTTGAATCTGCAGTCATTTTAGATCTCTGTTTACCTTTATTAGACAATCGAATGTTGAACAGCAAAACAGGGCCTCTGCTGTTGTTGTACTCTGTATGTGTGGGAAAATGCATTCTTTTTAGTCATCTTTGGCAAGGGGAAGTAATGTTTACTGTAGATGTGACTGTCCTTTTCTTGCCGTTGTGGCTGTCATGCTGTTTTAGGCTGCTGAATAAGATACTTGTCTAAGAGGGTGAAGGACAAAAATGTGCACTAGAGATTTTTCTTTTAGGAGGTAGTCTTATAAAAACCATGCTGTTTGCTCAGCTGTTAACCCTTTATCTCTAATGGCTTGTTCTGGTTATGGCAGCTTTGTCTGCTGCAACAGGAGAGGTCTGTACTAACTGTATCATGATGTGACTTTCAGGCTTTTGGTTCTTATTGTAATGTTTTTTCCCTTAAAGATAATATCGCAGTTCTCACCAAGTTCAAGCCATCAAGGTCAGCAGGTATTGTACTAACCAGCAATATGCCTTGTTCTCTTTTGTGTGTGTCTTCTTTCAGTTTCTCTCTTTGTTCACATTTGGAATTTAGATCAGTTGTGTCATAGATATTTCATAAAACCAGATCATAGCTCAGTGAGATTGATGGAACCATTTTAAATTTATAACATGTACCTCATACATTCTAGTGTAAATTCTTGATTGGAAATAGAGATTGTCCTTATTAATACTATTAAAGAAAGACACTTTTGTTTAAATACAAATGCTGCCAAAAACAGATAGAGCTCTTTTCACTCCCAGCATATGTAATCAGCTACATTAAACTCTGAGTTATAGTTTCCCTTGAATTTAGCGTTAAACTCTCCAACTCTACATTCATGATAATACAACATGATTAAAAATTGTAAGGCTTTCATCCCAGACTGTCACTGTCTAAAGTTCCAACTTTCTCTTTAGGTATTTTGTGACGTGAACAGCTTTGTTTCCCAAATAAATGGGACAGGTATAAGAATACTAATTACTTGTTATCAACAACTGTCAAGCAGTCAAATTTCTTTTTTTGACATGCCTCTCGTGTTAAATGCTGGTCTGTTTTCTGTTGTGTTGAGTATTTGTGCTGGGCTGAAGATATACTGAATTAAAAGGTCAGCGCTGAAGCCTTTTTCCTTGTCTGTACTTCTGAAAATCTAGTGTTATTGTTTTGAAACAAATATTCACCATGGGGATTATGAATCTCTATTTTGAGAAGAGCACAGTTTTGTCTGGTCCTCAAAGTGGTACCTAAGGGATAGTGGGATATGAAAGGAAGAAAATAATCCTATTACTCCTGAGCCGAATTTTCAAGGATGCTTTAACACTGGTCTGTAAATTTGCATCAAAAAACGTACATGTGCAGCTCTCCAAATATGGGTACACAAACAAAATTTGTATGTGCAAATTGTGCAAATATCTAACTACAAATTTAACTATGCTGGCATAACTGCATCGTATAGACAGAGCTTGCACCAACACTGTGGGAACACCACCTCCCTGAATGACAGTGACTCGGTCAGTGGAAGCATTCTTCCATTGATATAGCTGCATCTACACTGGGCATAGGTTGGCATATGGATTTTTCACACCCTTGCCTGACATAGCTATATTGAGCTAAATCTTACGTGTAGAGCAAGTCTCAGATAATGTTTTATGGGGAAGCTTCTGGATGTGACAGTAAATTAATGTGTCCGTTGTTTAGTATCTCCTCACCTTAGATGGTGAAAATATAAAGAATGTCTTTTAGAAACAAGCTTAAATGGACACATATTACTTTAAGAACATTAAGTTTGCTCTTAAAGATAAAGTAAAGAATTTATTTTTACCCTGAATTGCTTATCATAACTTTTGGAGAAAACCGATGAGTGCCAGATGAGATTTTGGCATCAGATATGGATACATTTGCAGGCACTAGAAGTGTAATAGATTTGTTACTTAGTTTATACTAGTGACGAAAAAAATATACAAATAAACCAACACTGAGATTTGGAACAATTTGTGGAAAGGAAAAAGGCTGATAATGCAGCACTTGATGTGAATTGTCATTCCGTCTTGTCAAGCAACTCAGTGAAATATATGTTTGTGGTGTTTCTTCAAGCGCTTCTGGTAAACTGCATAGGCTTGATTTTAGATGTGCTAAGCCCCCACAGCTAAATTCAAATGAATGGGAGCTACAAGCGCTCAGCACCTCTGAAAATCAGACCCTGTGCACATCTATGTTCTTGGCAATGGAGGGAAATGATGATGATCTTCCGTCTCTATAAATGCCCCAATGTGTGGATCAAATAATTCTCTTATTTCTTTTAAAGGCATATTTTTCCATGGACAGCCAAAAACAAACTGTCTTGTTAAACTTGTGCATAAATGCCTCTTTGTAAAAGTGAAATGCTGAATTGACACTTCAACCCTATAGTGAATACTTGTTTCGCTATATGACTATACCGTTTCATAGTAGCAGAATGTGGAACACACACAATTTTCCTATATTTAATTTTTTTTCTTAATACAAGGAAATTCTATAAAATGTATTTTATTATTTTTTTTAGAATGAAACCTGAATATAATAAAAAAGTTGACGTTTAAACTTTTAAACATTAATAAAAGAAAAAAACTCAAATAGGGACAGAATCCACGGCCTCCTCATTAGAGTTAGGGCCAATATAAACCCTAGATCCATGGTGAATTTATTAACTCTGCCCTTGCAGAGCATCTAGCAAGGAGAGGCAGTCAGTCATTCTGGTATTACAGTTCAAGCACAGGTGGGTGCAATAGATGACAGTGATATCAACACCAAGCAATAGTATTGTGGCCTGAGTATACATGTGGTAGGTAATGCTAGCGATCAGTGCTGCTGTCAAAGTAACACCATGAAGTCCCTTTTACTTTTTCTTTAAATGACAAAGAGTTTGGTAATCTGAGCTGTAGTTACCTGTCCTGAGTCTCAGAGTAGCAGCCGTGTTAGTCTGTATTCGCAAAAAGAAAAGGAGTACTTGTGGCACCTTAGAGACTAACCAATTTATTTGAGCATGAGCTTTCGTGAGCTACAGCTCATCGGTGCATCCGATGAAGTGAGCTGTAGCTCACGAAAGCTCATGCTCAAATAAATTGGTTAGTCTCTAAGGTGCCACAAGTGCTCCTTTTCTTTTTGTCCTGAGTCTGCCGCCATATCTCCATTACACAGGCATGTGTGATTCACAAAGACCTCTTGTGAAGTTTCAGAGCTGTACTCCACTGATTCCCCAACAATGACAGGCCAATTTCAATTTCTAGCCAACATCCTCAGGGAAAATTGAATTTTCAGAACTCAGGCAGCAGGGTTCCCAATATGTGACCTTTATAGTTATGATCCTATCAGACGTTCCATGCAAGAATGGATTTTATCTTCTGAGATTTCTGATGTTCATTTATCAGAGTTAAATTTATTTCTGTGACTGCAAGGGTACAATGAGGTAGTGGAACTTGAGCACAACACTTGGAGTATTTTGTCTCGGAGGCTACAGGAATCATTTGTGAGGGAAGTTTCTGGTTGTTGTTGAGAAGTACAACTATTTCCCAGCTTTGGCTTTTGATTTTTTTTAATGTAAAATTAGTATTTCTAGCTTGATGCATTGAATTTTTGCTTCATTTACGCTTTCAAATATAAAAAGGTTTTAAATGGGAAATATATATTTTGATGTGATTTTTTTTTTCCCTGCGCTCTTTAGGGGAAGATAGCAATGGACCTCTGTGTGAAACTATTTCAAACACAGAATCAGAACTTCCAAGCAATTCTGAGGTAAGATACAGGATATGTGCCATTCACTTTTCAAGTTTGTGTACATCAGTTGTAGACAGTAAGGGGAGCACCGCTTTGGGAGATGGAATTAATCTTGATTAATAGTCTGCCTTTAAATGTATTGACATTAGTTTGTCAATCCTGATATAAATACTAATAATATTATCTATGCAACACTTTCTTCCTTCACTGGTTTTGTGATGAGCAAATCCTACCTTAATATTGTCCCTGTACGTAGCATGGTTATGTATTGAATCTTGCAAAAGAGTGTTACAATATATCAACATTAAAAATATGGCAAGCAATTTGGACTGAAAGTATTTCTAATACCAATCTGAAATGAGAACCACAGTGCAGTGCCTTGGCAATTGGGAAAACACAAATGCTTCTGTATAAGCACAACACAGGATAACACAGCACATTGCTTTATGTTACAAAACCTTATGACATTGGCCTGTTAAAGAGACAAAGGCGTATTTGCATTCCTCTGCCCTAGGAATTATTTGAGAGGCAGATGTTGAACTTGGTTATGAAAAGGATAAAGGAAATTGTCTAATTTGGACATGTGAGCCCATCTGTTTAGTATAATGGTGTACAGTTCCATATAATGAAATAACAAAAGGTATAATTGGTTTAACAAAGTTAACAGTATCTCATTTCTAAGTATATACAGTACATTGTTTACTTAAAGAGGAGGAAGGGCATGTTCGCTATTTTTTAATTCAGGTTTAAAAAAAAATCTAAAAAGACAATATTGAAGATGACATTCATTTTTTGTAATGGTTTAATGATTTTTAGGGGATGCTTGGGACATCTAATCCCCCAAGAGTTTCAGGTGTCACAGCAACAGAAATATGTGCCCTAGGAATGTATTCACACGCTTGCTATGAGCCACTAAGCTGAAACCATATCCTTCAAACTTCGGTAGGCCTTTTGCTACTGCTACTGAACCACTTAGGTGGTGAAACTTCTCTGTTCCTATCACTAAAAGGCTTACACAGAATTGCTTCCATTTTCTTTGCACTGGTCCCTCAAAAATTGTTACAGTAGGAAAATATTAATGATCCCACTTAAAGGCACAATGCAAAGAGGTTTAGAGAAAGGAATTAAATCATAACATTAAAGGAGAAATGAGAAGACAGCATATTCCTTACATTAGACCTATCAGCTTTGATTTGGTTTAGTTTACAAGCATATCAAAACATCACTCCCCTTGGGCTGTCTGTTTTGTTTGGAAGGGAACAGAGGTGCACATTTCAGGGGCAGCATGACCAACCGTGATAGCTGTGGAAGAGTAACCTATGGGCTTGTTTTTGGTCAGTCATCAAGATGAGCGGTTAGGATTTTAGGTTTTCTTATGGAAAGATAATGTCGTTTGTTTGTTTGTTTGTTTTTTGGGGGGGTTACATTCATATGGAGTGATTTTCCCCCTGTAATTTATACCAGTACTTTTATTAAATGATGATTTAATTAAAAACACAAAACAAAAATATAAACAGCTCAAAAAAACCACAAACCCACTCAGAAGCTTGTCTGGCAACAAAAATCTACAATATTTATTTTTTCTTTCTTACCCACTCTGTTCTTATTTTTCCAGTTTCCCTGCATTTGTGACCTATTCTGGCATTACTTCCCTATTTCTTCCCCTCTCATTTCACTGGGTGGTGGGGTGGGGGGAGTCTTGTCTAATTTGCTTCTTTTCTCAGTCTCTCCCAAGCAGGATGCAAGCCCAGTAACATTTGAGTGGAACTTTCTAATTCACAGTGTTTATGTGGGTTTGATATTGTGCAGAACGTGCCCCTTCTTAAATTCAGACCAGTAGCTTTCAAATGACAGGCACTAAATTCCATGAATCTCTCAGGATGCCTTCAGTGCAATGGGAGAAGAAGATCTTAGCAGTTGCCAGAAAACAGCTGATTGGGGAGGAAAGGAAAGGGATTCTTGTAAATAGCTGCAGAAGGGAGGACAGTGTTTCAAATTGCTTTCTATGGTTCTGTCATCTGAGACTGGATGCAATCATAGCATGGATTAGACTATAACCCTGCCTACCAGTCATGTCCAGCGTTAGTCTTTGTAAACAGACTGCTTGGCAGATGCTCAGGGGATCTTACCTCGATTATCCTTAACTCTCCAAGATACACATAAATAACTCTGAAGCACTCAAGTGACAAACAGGGCTGATTTAAGTTATAATGAGCCTGATTTTCTTATGCATTTTATCCTGTCTCATCACTTAGGTGAGTGCAAAGATAGTGGAAAGTGAAAGTAAAATGCTACCATTCCAATTTGTTAGCATTTTACATCACTTTTCACACCTGCAATTGATGACGCAAATTGTGAGGCAGTAGAGAATCACTGACTTCATTGCTTTCCAATTCTTTCACTTCAGAAATAGAGGAGAAAAGGGCACAAAAGAAAAACAGTCAGAATTTTTTGGGTTAGAAGGGAAGTTTAAATGGCATTTTTAAATTAATGCCCAATTCAGGTATTGTAGCACAGGGGAAATCAAATCAACCACAGTTCTTTGACCTTTGTGATAGCTGAACAATACATATACTTGGGTAGTTTACAGATGGAGCTTTAGTCTAATCTTTGTCTATCTGCTACTGTAGATTCAATTAAGGGATTAATGTTACTTGAACATAGCATTTTTTGGTTTGTTGGTTTTTTTAAAGTTCCTCACCACCGAAGAAGGCAATAGCATTACTCACATAAATCAGGTGGTGAACCTGTTAGAGCTGTGTGAAAACGATGAGAAATTTTTTTGCAAATTTGTGCTCCAAAATGTTCATCGTTTTGCTTGATTTTGTGTCTAAGAAATTTTGTCTTTTGTGACGTTTTTGTGAAATTAAAATTTCCATCATGAAAGGCTCTCAGCACCATCATCTCTTTCTAAACCAGATCATCAGCTGGTTTAAACTGCTATAGTTCCATTGTAGATAATGATGCTACACAATTTACACCAGTTGAGTGTCTGGCCCACTGACTTCAATGTGAGCTGCAGGCGCTCAGCACCTTTCGGTGTGTGTCCCAAAATGAGTTGAATTTTATCTGAAAGAAATAGCAAACGCCCATTACTTTCACGTCTTCCCATTTTAGACAGACCTATTTTCAAGTAGAAAAAACGCAAAATGCCACCTTTTGTAAGTGTGAAATCAGATCAGTTTCAAAAACTGGAAATTTTTTTTTAAAAATTGTAATTTGTAATTTTTCCCCCCCACAATTCTACCAAATGCATCAGAGAAACATTGCTAGAGGAATACTGTGTATATATTGAATACAGAAAACATATAAGGTCAGATTTCTAAAGCACTCAGCATTGGGCTAATTCTGCTGCCACTGAAGTCAATGGAAATTTTATCTTTAATTTCAGTGTGAGCCAGTTCTGATTGGTTTTGAAAACCCCATTCATATTTCTTCCTGTTGTTATTGTTTGTATAGTGACAGAGCCAAGGTAACGTGCACAGACATGTGACAAGATCTGTGCAAAAGATCTTGCACATTAAGTATATGAGGAGAAGGTATTTCAGCTCTCTGACCAGTTTGACACTTCTGAACTCCAGTAATGTCAGTGAAATTATTCATGGTTTACACCAGCGTACCATGAGAGCAGACTCAGGTCCCCAGCTTGATGAGAAAGTCTTTTAAATTATACGTGTGTGTTTCTAAGGACCTGGGAGTTTCTCAGAATCAGGCCCTATCTCCCAGAGGCTACTCAAGCCAAACCGGGAGAGTTTAGGCACTGGAAGTCCAGCGACGCAGTGGGGCTAAGGCAGGCTCCCTGCCCGTCCTGGCCCCATACCACTCCTGGAAGCAGCAGTCACATTCCTGTGGCCCCTAAAGGAGAGGCAGGAGGTGCCACAAGCTGCCCCTGCCCCCAGTGCCCATTGGCCGCAATTCCAGATGCTGGCAGTGCGCACCATGCAGAACCACCTGGCCATGCCTCTGCCTAGGGGCCCGACATGCCAGCCACTTCTGGGAGCAGCGTGGAGCCAGGACAGGCAGGGAGCCTGCCTTAGCCCTACTGCATCACCGACTGGGAGCAACCCGAGGTAAGTGCTGCCTGGTCGGAGCCCTCACCCCGAACTCCCTGCCCCAGGCCAGAACCCCCTCCTGGACCCTAACTCCCTCCCAGACCTCGCACCCGTGCCCCAGCCCTGAGCCTCCTCCCACACTCCAAACCCCTTGGCTCCAGCCCAGAGCCCCCTCCTGCACCCCAATCCCCTGCCCCAGCCGTGAGCCCTCTCCAGTACCCAAACTCCCTCTCAGAGCTTGCACCCCAACTCCCTGCCCCAGGCTCAGCCCGTAGCCCCCTTCCACACTCCGAACCCTTTGGCGCACCCCCCCAGCCCAGAGTCCACACCCATTCCCGCACCCCAAACCTCTGCCCCAGCCTGGTGAAAGTGATTGAGGGTGGGGGAGAGTGAGCGAGGGAGGGAGGGGGATGGAGTGAGCAGGCCGAGGCCTTGGAGAAGGGGCGGGGCCGGGCAGGGGGCGGGGCAAGAGTGTTTGGGTTTGTGTGATTAGACAGTTGACAACCGTACTGACTACACTGAATTGTTGGCTTCATCCTACTCTGTTTCATCTTTGTTCTCTACTGTTATTTTATCTCTGAGGTTTTTTTTTTTAAATTCAAGATTTTATTAAAACAAAGCACCTGCAGAAGCCAAATAAAGGGTGTATGGGGCCTAAAACCCATGTTGACAGCTGATCATGGATGAGATGAAAAATGTGTGAATGCAAATACAGAAAAACTCAAAGGGGAGAGCAAGTGGAATTGTGCAAACAATTGAAAAGGGAGGGCATTTTTCAGATGAAGAGGCTGAAATCCTTAGGGGAACAAAGAAAAGCAAGAATAAGCACTTCCATTGTTCACAAGCTTGCACAGTACTTTCAGTTTTTAAACATATTAACTATGTAGTCAGGGGAAACTTTTCCACTGAAGACTGAACTACAAAGATTTAATGTACTCCTCTAGCCTTCTTCCACGGCTGCCAATAATGGGGATTGGCATTAACAGCAGCAGGATCAGTCCTCAATGCAGAATTGAGTCAAGGTTAGCATATCAAGGCACGGCATTTGTTTGTATTTGCTCATTTGCTCTTTTCCCTTGTGGAATCATTTTAATCATCAAACAGATTGATCTACATAATGTTGTCTAGGTGGGACTTTGTTATGGGGATTTCTTTTTTCTTGTTTGAAGAAAATATCAAGAATTGGGTTCATTAGCAAAGTAAAGAAAGACAAATATTTGTTTCTTGACTTAAAATTTAAATGCAGACAAAACTTTTATGTTTGCTTTAAATAAATTATATTGATATTTGTATAGTTTTCCCCAGGTAGAATTCTAGTAAATGAAAAAGTAATAATAAGTAATAATAAAAAGTAATAATAAAAAGTAATAATAATGATAAGTAATAATAAAAACATTGTTTCATTTCATTGTAATTTCATTTCAGTTTTCAAAATTCCGTGTTTATTCCAATTGACTGACAACAAGGTGTTTTTGTTTGTTTGTTTTTTTACTTTATTTTAATGCACATTAATCAAGGTGAGTTATGGGAAATCCATTACCGAAATGCTGTAACTGCACAGTACTAATAAGCAAGGATTTTATGTGAAGTAAATAGGCTACTCTGCCCAGCATCAATTCCAGCTGGCAGATAACTGCCATATTTTCACATCATGTGTCATCCTCTTGCCGTTGCTGGACCACTTTATATCCTACCACATCCCATTGCTTATCTCCATCTTTATGCTGTGATTTAACTTTGGAAACAGATTTGTAAAATGACAGTACAAAAGATTATCACATATTAGACAAGCATTTTCTATAGTTGTTTTGCAAACAATTGTCTTTTCCATTTGTACAGGCTTGATCCCACAAACTGTCACTTGCACAAGCAATGCTTATTCACACTGGTGGGATCAGGGCATGTGGTTAACTTTGCTCTCATTATTTATCTTGCCTTACTCATATCAGAAACCAAATCATTTCTCTCATCATACTTGTTTTCATTGTGAGGTGCATGTTGTACTTCTAGTTTACATGGGAAAAATAACTCTGGATGAAGGACCTAAATAACCCTTTCCAAAATTAAGTAGGAAATAGCCTATTTCTATAAGATTTTCCTTTATCATGTGGTAGACTGTTATGAGTTCCAAAATATTTACTGATTGATTATCATTTTTACAATGGAAAAGCTTAGATATTGGATTGGCACCTTTTTCTAACTGTGCATTTCTCTGTTCTACTAAACCATGTAAAACATCAGTGGCTATAATCCAAACAACCTGTTTCGTCTGAAGAAGTAGAGATGATGAAATGATTTAGTTAATCTACAGTTTCCTGGGGCTGAAATCCAGCAATCACTCTGCACAACTTTTGACAAAAACAACCCAAAGCTTCATTGTTTCTGCTGAAATAACTTTTAAAACGTCCTGCTGCCTTTGCATCATCACTAACATTATGTCTTTCCCATGATGCCACTGGCAGGGCCTAAGCAGCACTGAGACTACTTTACTCATCCCTGATCATCAAGTGGTAAGCAGCAAGCAGTATTCATGCTTCCTTGCATGAATTTTTGGTGTCTTCTATTATTGTGTGCCAAAATATAGCCCCCTGAAAATTTTCCAGTTTTTCAAACATGTCCTCATCCTTCAAAAGCTAATCATGTTTTCTCTAGTATGTGAAAGCAAATGTGGATTTGAAGTATTCAGATAGTAGATTGGCCTATGGGCACTTGTTGTGTTTGGTTGCAATCCATAAACCAAGCAAGTTGAAAATGATTATATAACTTAATATGGACAAAATGCAGTTGTTAAATGAGAGAACTGGAAAGTTTTTCTTTTATGTTTGTACTCATTGTTTTGTTTGACGAAATAATCTATATAGGGTGTGTTCTAATTCTGGTGTTATTAGTCTATGTAAGTTTGTTTCCTCCTACCGTAATGATCTGTAGTTGTGTCAGAGTCAGCATGATACTTTAAAATGTGTTAAAGATGAAGAAATAATCACTAACATAATTTGAGGTATTTTATGTGCTTGTTTCTTATTACAATAAGTTGTAAATAATAAGTATAGGCTGCAAATGCAACTAATTAATATTGAAAAATTCTCCAACCTATTCCTTGTTTGCTTCACCAAATATACTACAACACCCGATATACATACTCTCTTCATAAAGCAAAAATAAAGTTTAAATAGAAATGGAGAATGACATGCTGAGATGCACTGGAATTGTATGCTTACTTACACTGGGCTCTGGTGTCTTACATTAACACATATTTTCTCTTTTAGCATAGTTTTTTTCTTTGTTTTTTGTTTAAATATTTCCCTGTATCTTCCTAGTTTTTCTGTGTATTTTAACGTCAGACCAAAAAGTGCAGGAAATACTTACAAGCATATATTTTTTAAATTGAAAACTTTATTGCAACTTTGTGCTGCTTGCGTGAAGCAAACCTTGAAATTGGGACATTTCTGGTCTTAACAAGGTTTATATTACACTTTCCTGGCAAACTGATAACAACCAATTAAATTATATTGATTCCTTACAGCAAGAAAATGCTACAGAACCTTATGCTAAATGAATCCCTCATGTAATAATTCCATTGGAGTTACTGGAGAACTATAGCAGGGATGAATGAATTGGCTCATTGATTTTTGGTGGAGCACATATACATTTGCATGTGCCATGTAAGTGCAGTTACAGAATGTTTTTGTTCATTAGGAATGACTTTCATTTTAGAGGGGTTTTTTTTTAGCATGGAAGAACTTTAATCAGTATCTCTCTCTTTTAGTTTTAAGAAAATGTTTAGCTAATTCTGTTAAAGAGGTGTTTTTTCATGAACATCAGATTCAAAAAATAAACCTAATAAACTCCTGGTGCAAACTGTGTTTGCTTTATGAGCCACTGGAGTTTTTACCCTTTTGATTAAGGCTACGTTTTAGTCATGGGTATTTTTAGTAAAAGTCGTGGACAGGTCACAGGCAATAAACAAAAATTCACGGCCCACGACCTGTCCATGACTTTCTGGAACTGAGGGGTGGGGGAGGCCAAAACTGCCCCAATAGTGGCCGGTGCGGCTGGCCAAGGGGCCGCCCAAGCTGCGCTGGCGGCCCTGGGGTCAGTCACGCCGGGAGCTGCAGAAGTCACAGAGGTCCCGAAAAGTCGCGGAATCTGTAACACCTGTGATAGAGTCGAATGCTTACTTATGATTAGAACGCTGATTCCTGTAATGCAGCTTTCACGTCTTTCTAATTTTCATACATTTCAGTATCCACAGGGAATATTTCTGCAATGGATTGTTAATTTGTACAAATTAATAACTAAATTATTTATAGTGTATTAATTTCAAATTGCTATATTATCTCAGAGATAAAAACTTACAAACCAAGCTAGAAGTAAGACAGGCATAACTATTCCATAAAAAAACAAACTAAATCATCAGTTTGTAAACATTATTGTTACAAATCTGCAAAATATTCTAAAATTGAATTTATTTTAGGACAATAAAGATTTCAATTCTGAGGGATGTGGGACATTGGCTATTGCCTTCTCCAGCAATGGAGGCCAATAATCGTACAACTCCTAGAGCCAAATTTGAGAGTATTGTTATTGGCATAATTAGCTAGTTAACTTATAAATTATTTTCATATCCTATAGCTCTTCAATACAGTACAACTCTGATTAAGCTAGTTGATAAGGCGTCCTTCCTAAAGATTTGAAAATGACTGAAGTACTTCTTAGATTACAGTTGATTTAGTGCCCAAAAGTAGCCATACACTGTGAAAACAAAATGGAACATTATAAAACTATAGATTGGAGGAGCAGAGTTTGAGTCTTTTGTCCCAAGTCTGCAATGTTGGGGCTCTGTGGGATGTTAGGGAATGTGCTAAGGTTGGAAGGGAATCCAGGCTGGGAAGTACTACATTCCAAAACATGCACCCCCCAGGACCACACAGATTTCTGCCTGGAAATAAATGTGGAAATGAATGCTCAAAGTAGAGTTCCCTCTTTGGCTTCCACTGTGTAGACACATAGGTGGGGAGATGTTTAATGGCAGGATGAATTCTGAGGAATTACTATATTGCCATTGGAAAGGGAGTGATGCATACAGCAGCATAGACAGGTAGCCTTCCATGTTAATGTGTTGGAATGCAGGATGATAGGATTTTCCTGAAATCATACAGGATTCAATCATCAGTGGCTGTGACATTATCACCTGCTAAATGGTATTGAATGTGTGTGTTTTTTACCTCAGTAATGAGGGATATTTGACAGAATAAGTTAAGGTCAGAACTCTGCATGTTAGTGGGTACTTAATGTTAAGCAAACATTTACAACAGTCACTATCACTTAGTGTGAATCCCAGGTGGGAGCAAAGTCATTTTTATAAAGCACCTTCTGTTATGATTTTTCAGTGGTTGATGCCACATTCAGCAGTTTGCTTTCCCCTCTTGTATTAGTGGTGGCTGGTTTGTTTGCTTTGGATCTGAGGAGTGGCGAGAGGTGGTCAGGACTTGTACATAAGCTATTTAGTTGTGTGACAGGATTTAAATGGGTGAGATTTTGGACTGCAGTTAGTTGGGTGGGCCCACTTTTAAAGCGTTTAGTCATTTTACACTAATGCATCAAGGCAAAACAGAATGTGAAATTTGTTCTTAGCTCAAGGGCAGGTTTTGTTTAATTCCAGACCCATATTTTAGTCCAGTTTATAACCTTTATTTTGGATCTGAAGTCCCTGGTATAGGGCTTTAGCTCGTACCTATATGAACACTGCAACATGCTGCGAGCAGGGCCATTCTTTGAAGTAGCTGTTAAGACATAGTCCCTTCTGCCAACTTCTGGTGGATGGTTAGATGGAAGATAAAGATTTAGGGTTAAATTATTAACTTAGTTAAAGCGGTGTAACTTTAATAGGCTTGCACTTGCATAATTACATGAAAGGGAAATTTTGCCCTTAATAATAGATAAGTGATAATGCTCAATTACCTGACTGGTCCAAATTTCATAAAATCACATTGCTCTCATATAGGTTATTGGACTGTATCATTGGAGAGTTACTAAAGGTGAAGATTGGAAACCAAAAAATCAAATAATTTTTTTTTAAGAATAGTTTCTATTCATCTATCTTACAACTGTTGGATTTATCAGGTTCTTGTAGGCAGTTGTAAACTATGAACATTCTGGGTGACATTTCATAAGCCTCCACCAGTTATCTGTAACACTAGTGAGGTACCTTGTAATTCAGTTATAGATTCCTCCAAGAGTCATATAAATCACATGATATAATAGCTGCTAAATTGAGTCAGGATATTAATGAATGTAATAGATAGTTTGTCTCACATCAAATAGATATGCCATAATTAATAATAGAACTGTTAAGAAAGAGAAAATATGAATCTGTCCAACTGCTGCTTTAAAATATACAGCTGATACAAATTACTTTACAGTGGTTTTATATATGAGCCCCTAAATTTGCACATGCACATAGTGGGCACGAGTGGTCTTGCTTTTGCTGCAAAATCTAAAAGCAGAAGGTTGGAAGGGCATAATTAATGTGCTAAATAAGAAGGCGTTCCACTAACTGTTACAGGTAATTATATTTGTGCTGACTGAGAGAGAGAGAGAGAGAGAGATTCATATGACTATTTTCCCCATCCTAGATTAGATCCAAACAGAAATTATAAGATTCTTAGATATCTAAACTGATACTCAGTACTTTATGGACAAGAACAAATTTAATGTTGTTCAGTACCGTGTAACTGTGGTCAGAATTTGGTTCACCTGTGAAACCTTGTGGATTTCAATATAATTGAAGGCCAAATATAGTTGTAGGTGTATTGTAATACCTGAACACTGCTGACCTCAGTGGAAGTTTTGCCTGATTAAGGATTGCAGAATTCAATTGATTTTCTTTGTTTGTGTAGATTTTAATCAGGTTATTTGAGTTAAATGCTGTTCAATGTAGTCAGCTCCCACACAGGTAATTAAAGGCAGAATTTAGCTCCTAGGGCCTGATTTTTAGAAGAGACTTCCCATTCTGAGAGCATAAAATACTGCTGGTGCAATTTTTTCAGGCCAAATACATATGTGTGCAATTGGAAAATGTGGACAAATTAGGGAGAGTCCAGAGAAGAGCAACAAAAATGCTTAAAGGTCTAGAAAACATAACCTATAAGGGAAGATTGAAAAAAAAAATGGGTTTCTTTAGTCTGGAAAAGAGAAGACAGAGAGGGGACATGATAACAGTTTTCAAGTACATAAAAGGCTGTTACAAGGAGGAAGGAGAAAAATTGTTTTTCTTAATCTCTTAGGATAGGGCAAGAACCAATGGGTTTAACTTGCAGCAAGGGAGGTTTAGGTTGGACATTGGGAAAAGCTTCCTAACTGTCAGGGTGGTTAAGCACTGAAATAAGTTGTCTAGGGAGGTTGTGGAGTCTCCATCATTGTAGATTTTTAAGAGCAGGTTAGACAAACACCTGTCAGGAATGGTCTAGATAATACTTAGTCCTGCCTTGAGTGCAGGGGACTGGACTAGATGACTGCTCAAGGTCCCGTCCAGTCCTATGATTCTGTGATACCATTTTGATGGCTATCTGATTCAAATCAAGGATTATATGTCTAAATAACAATAATTGCATCTGTAAGTATTCACCCTCTTATTTATTTGTACCTACAAAATTATAAATGCAAAAGCATATGCTACTCATAAAATTCAGATGCAAAGTGTCTTTTCTTCCCTTTCTTGGATTGCATGTTTTCTGGGATCTTCTCAGTCTTCAGGGGTCGTGGATGCAAAATCATTCTCCAAGACTCCCCATGTTCCTTCTCTAATGAATTAGTCTAGCTTAGTTGGTCTGGTGTAATTATTATACACAAAAGTATTACTAGTTAATGAACAAGAGGACCAGGGGAAATTAAAGAATAGTTCTGAAAAAGATTATATTGTCACTGTATGTTTCTCTAATTTGAAATATATGGTCAATAATTCTCTGAAAGGTTGGAATATTCTAAAGAAACATAGAAATTGCTACATCGGAACAAACGAAGGGTAGCTGGTCCAGTATCCTGTTTCTAACAGTTACCGATAGATACCACAAGTAAAAAATGAAGACATAGCCCCTCGATTCACTTTTTCTATGTTGTGGAACATAAGGGAATCTCTTTCTTGATCCCATTTAAGATGAATTTATGCCCTGAAGCATAATTTTATCGGATATGGCATTATATAGCTACCCATTTGCTTTTTGTGTGCTGCATGACTCCAAAATTAAGCAAGCCTATGAAAAAGATGCTTGATCTTTTTATGAGCTACTGCTTGGTTTTGTTATTACATTTGTGTGCTGATGACCTTTTCTTGGCCTGTTTTGATCTGCTTGACTTTTTAAGTGACCTCATCGTTTGCAACAGGTAGTATTATAGAAACAAAATAAAGAAATTGGGGGATCCTCATTTTTACTTGATGAATGCCAGTTGCTGCATTAGATTTGCTATAATTAAGGATGATATATTGTAGCCATGTAGGGCTTGTTTTAATCCCCTCCCCATATGCTTGGAGCCTTATCTTGCCTTTGATTTGGACACAGAATTCTCACTAACTTCACTGTGAGTTCTGTGCTTGGAACAATGTCAAGATTTGGGTCCTTGAAGTGGATGACATGCTTGCTAACTCCTTGTTGGTTGTTCCAACAGACCGGAAAGAGATACAATCTGTTCCTGAAGCGACGTCTCAGGGTAAAACAGTAATGAATGATACTGCTAGTGGCTTGGATGGCTGTGGTCATAACATGCTTCACTGTGTCATGTCTTTTGTTAATTGGGAGCAAAATTCATACTCAGATAACTACTTTGCAAGTTTTTAGAGAACTTTTTATGTACTTTGGGGTGTAAACTAGAGCAGAATTTGATCTATAGTTAACAGTGACATACCTCCTTTGTACATGATTCCTTTTCCAGCTCTAATAAAATGTAGAATTGAGCCCTAAAAACCAAACTCAGCCCTTGTGTAAACACACGCAACTCTTACTAAAGTCTATGACACCTAAACCCTTTTAGGCCAGCGTTGAATTTAGCCCAAAGTGTCGGCCTGTGTAGATTGCTTTATTTTGGTAAGGCAGATTTTCTGGAGTGGGATAATCAGAAAGATCCTGTTTTAGAAAAGTTGTTGTTTCTAGACAAAACATTGTGTTGGATTATCCAAGCCTAACAGTATTGACAAGAGCAGACATGCTGAGGTAGTGATCTTTATTAATTTGAAAGTATAATTTCAGTAGCTCAGTTACAATGATAGAGATTTATGACATTCTAGCATCCTGCAAATGAAAATGTGAAATTAACTATTAGATTTTTTTTTTTAAGTACAATTTCCCTGCTCTCCTGGTCCGGTCCATTGGTCTAGGAGATTTTTTTTAAAGGACGGCGAGTAATAAATTATGTAACCTGTTAAATGTAACCCATATGTTCTTTGTGTTCTAATTATATATGTGATCATCTAAGTATTGTTGCTTAGCAATGTTCCTGGACAACTGCTGCTTTAATGAGCCTTGTTTTGAAATGGAAAGTGCATGGACTTTCTTTACTGTCAGAGTTGCTGTAGTGCCACTTGCTTTCGGGTTTTTAAACTGTGCTCGTTTGTCTTTGTTTAAAGGGGCATGCTAATGTTTTACAGGGGACATCGTACTCTCAGACACTAAATCACTTACCATGATCATTTTTGCAGGAAAGTGTTAAACTGAAAAGAGGCATTTCAGAAGATTGTGAGTGACCTTTAACTATAGCAGTATTGCCAAGCATTGTTACACTAATGTATATCATTGTATATTGTAGTGTATATAACATTTGTGACACATAAGGTATGTGGATGGGCCATGCATATGTGCAGCCAGTTTTGAGATCACTTCATAACTTCATATGTGGAGCTGTTGTTCAAATTTCACCTGAGTACAGATCTCTTCAGGTCTGAAAAGACTGAAGAACTGAACCAAACTGAGGAAACAACCCTCTCGTCTGCCTGGTTTCGGAGCAATAACAAGATTTGATTTTTAATTATGTTTCTTATGTTCTCCACAGATTAACAAGAGACACCAAAGCAAAGATTCTATTTTCTTCAGGGATGGTGTCCGACGAATTGACTTTGTACTTTCTTATGGGGATGATCCAAATAAAGAAGAGGAAAAGAAGGTGGTAAGTTTCTTTTACAATATTTTCTGAATGATGACCTAGCGTAGACCTGAACCTCCTTACTAAGCCCTTGGAATCATTTGCATGAATTGGACTATGTAAAATCTCATAGCTTGGAAAGAAAGTTCATGCAATGTACTGAAGTTTTTGGTGTGGAATTTTGTTGTGAATTAGGACTGATCCTGCAAACTTGTGATCACTCTCAGATCCTGAATATGCTCAGCACCTTGCATGATTGGGTCCTAAAGCCTAACTAATGATTTAATGATATTTATTTATCATTTAATGATATTGTCCTATAATTAGTATACCGATGGTGAAAAGTTTCTAAGTAGTCATAATGAAGCCTTTCTTTTTTCAAGAAGCATGAACTGTGAACAGACTGATGTATGGGAGCAACTGAAATACTTTTATACAGAAGAACTGTAGCCTGATTCTTCTCTCATTGATGACAGTAGAATTTTGACTTCCGTTAGAGTAGGACTAGACCTGCAGATGCTGCACTGAACTAGCTTGATTGTCCTTTTAATACCGATAATGGAACAGCAGTCAGTGTCAAAACATCAGAAGCTGAGTTAAAACTAAGAAATTACATCGCAAACTCAATTTACAGCAACTCTAGGTTCCTGGAGATTGAATTATAAATCTCAGATTTCTTTGAAATTGCTATCTTCAGCTACCTTCAGAGCTCCAGATAATCTTCCTCATTATAAGGCGCCTCTTTAAACACTTTGTCTGAAATAATAATATCTAGCTTCTTCCACTTGGTGCTAAATCTCATCTGTCTGCCCAGAGCTTATTACAGGGGATGCGTCTCTTCTCATGTTTTACCCTGGCAGTTGTGATCTACTGATGCTCGACCTTCCTGTGGAAGGCCCTTGAATTTGGAACTAACTCTTGCTCATTGGTTTATTGACCTTCGGAGCATGCTGCAAAACCAATCTATTTCACAGGCTTATGTAGTTTGGATGGGGTGATTGGGGCTCTGGCGAAGAGGTATAGTTTTGTTGATTGAGAAGGATAGTGAATGTGGCCATTAGTTCAACCGAAAGTCTCGTATATGCTTTTAAATGGTATTGTACGTGAGCCCAGAGACATGGATTAGTACATTCAGTAAATCTTAAAACAATTTAATACATAATTACAAATAAATGTAGGCATCTTTTCCCTTGGGAAACCAGATTGAACTGCTGCATTTTAATAAATGTTTGCTGCTAGTCATAGTAACTTTTTGTCTGGATTTCCTCATTTGGAAGCATAGTGTAAAAATAATCTTATCTTATAAGAGTTTATTGAAATGAAGATGGCTTTGTCCTTGGAATTTGGAACTTGAAGGAGCAAGAGGTTTCTTTAAAACTTTTAGTTTAGGAGTGGAAATAATCCACCCTGAACCTATGAGGTAATTTTTTTCCCCTCTGCTTGTAACAAAACTGAAAATGCTTGGCTCCTGAGGGTGATAGTGCACAGAGACTAAAGCTGACTTAGTCTTTTGGTAGTCCCTAGAAGGGGAAGGAATCTTGATTCAGATTTTCCACTATTTAAAGTACAGAGTCAATTACTAATGCTTTAAAGGGAAAAAATCCAATTTTGGAAAAATTAGTGGCTTAGCCAAGTACTTTTATGTAAGCAGGTGTGAGATATTGGGGACACCATTTATTCCTGGCACTAGCATTTTTATAAATACCTTAGTAAATGCATTGATAGTGTGCTAGCTTCTTAAAAACGTTGATGTTTACCCTTTACAAATAGAATAATGTTTTAGTGTACTGGTTAATAGGAACCATCATTTTATGATGAATGACATGCCTGGGGAGAGACAAAATAAGGCAGGCACCATGAGAAACAGTAACACTTGATGATACAGAATCCAGGTTTGATACTGTTGTCCCTACTACTGTGAGTAAGAGCTACATGACTGGGTCCTGCCTTTCCACAGCTGTTGGACACATATTTGTTTAACAGTTAAAGTGTCTAAAATGTAATTTTAGGGTTACACCGACAAGCATTCCTATATTAAATTAATTTGGTCCATTTACCGGTGTGGTTCATTGATGACTCATATCCCCCCACATCCTCCTGCGGTTTGTGTGATGGATGAGATGTGTGTGGGGCTGTTAGTGGAAGAGCTTTTATTCCTAATTACTTACTTTATACTCCAAGCACAACAGTCTCAGCACCTGCCCCTTCTAGGCTCTCTGCCTGGCATTTTGCCTCATTGCCAAAGTACTTGTAATTTATTTCCTTTTATTTTTATTATTAAAGCATTCTCA